TGCTCAGAGTATTGTTGGGGAGCAAGAAGAGGCAGTCGATCTGCTACTAGAGCTACGCAAGCTCAATGGGCAGCTAGCGAAAGGGTGGGACGAGCTGCGTTCGAGTGCAAGAGTGTGTCGTTGGAGTAGCATCAAGCTAGATCTTGGTCTCTCGGTGCACAACCTCTCGGCATACCACGAACGTCCATCCACATGCTGGCTCGTCGTGTTCCTCTCGTTGGCTTTGCTAGACATCTCCATTGATCTCTTTGCTCCGGTGCAAGCTGGTCACCTAGAAGTTCTGCCAGGTCAAATATCGCCCGACATCTACCTGCTCGTCCTCTGCTACGGTTTGATACGAGGAAGGGGCAGCAGTCACTTTCGTTGGTCTGGCATCCTGTACGATTTCATCGTCAAACGTCTAGCCAACAAGTCCACGCTCTTTGCGCTACACTCTGGTTCGCTAAAAGCTTCTAGCCCGGCCTACTATGCAGCCGTCATCGTCCCAGGGTTGTTGACGGGTGGCGCCAGAGTGTTTTCGGAACCGCTGCTTCGCTGGAGTCAACGCAGAGAGATCAAAAAGATGGTCCAAGCTATTCGAGCCTCGTCTGACGCACGCCTCGACTTCTTCGTAGAGGTGTTGCAGGAGCTCAACAAGAAGCAGCTGACACTTGTAGTGCAAATCAACGAGCGCAGACGAGAAGGGCAGCTCGCCATGACGGACGAAACGGCCATTGGCAACGATGTTGATCGTATAGCCAATCTCGCCAACTTGTTCTCAATGCTATCGACAAAAGAAGTCCCGTCGAGGATACCGCATGATAATAAGACCGAAAAGACCATCCCTCTGGGCGGCGGGGTTCTAGTCGGATTGATCTGGATGTCGCTCTCCTATCGCAGTCCGGTGCTCTTGGCGGGCTCGTCGATGCACACTGGTGTGCTGCTAGGTCAGCTGATTTGGATGTTCAAAAATCCCGGCTACTCGCCTGCAGAGATGCGCCGGTTGGTGCAAGAGAAGTTGTCGGCTATCTTGGTAACCACTTCGACTGTTGGGGCTATCCTTTATGCGCGCGGGACGGGTGCTTTTGAGCAGAAATGCATCCTCGCAACGGTCTGTGTGCTCACCAATGGCTTCGAACTTGTCGCGGGCAATATGCTATCCACTGCGGTGGACTGCATGGTCGAGAGGGTACTTGAGCTGTGGCGTACCCTATCAAGGCGCCTCAAGCAGGTGGAAGCGGAGAAGAACAGCCACGCTTGATCCGAAGACAAGGGAGCAGGAATTGTGGCAGGAGCGGAGCAACAGATCGTCCCTTTGCGCAAACGCCTTGAGCGTGTTCAAGACCAGATTTCAGGCACTTCAAGCTCCGGTGCAAATTTCGGTGATGCTTCATCAAGCATCCCAAGTGAACGAGTATTGCTCCTGCCGTGCAAGCTTGACTGCCACTTTGCGCAGGTGGTCACTTTACGTCACTTGCCCATCTTGGCCCCAGATTGACGTGCAGATCGTTTCATCCATGTCGCTGACCATCTTGATGACATGACAGCTCCCCATCGCACCCGAGACATGGCGGACCAGAAGAGCGTTGCTGAATGAATGACCACCGTGTTGCAGGGTCCTGCTAATTTCATGACTTGGGGTCTCCCCCCACCCCTGCTGTCGAACTCAAGACTAAGACTAGATCACGATCTGATAGCGCGAGGGGCGGTAGATCACGTGCTAGCAACACCCTCAGTAATCGCCACCCAACCACGTGGAGTCTTGCGTCGCGTACGCCTCGGACTTTGGAGTCTGAGTGGGC